TAAAAGTTTCGACGTCGATTCCACGAGATACTCGACTACAAAAACGCGACGTTATGCCAGAAACAATAACGCGAGTCAAGTGCTCGAACGGAACTTAAACCCGAAAAAAATTCGAATTCGATATAAAAAGGGCGTTTCGATCACTTTTTCCATCGAATTTTTTAAGCAAGAATAAACTTTGCGATGCCTCGCATAGCCACACCACATCAAATCGAATCTCTCCTATATGTACCCCCGATAAAAAAAAAAATAATAATCGCGCCGGTTTCGAGTCCGTATACATATTTCGTGGGTGCGGTCCCTCTCTCATATACCTACACATACACATAATGTAATAACGCGCGCACGTATACGAAACTGCTACGATCTGCGTCTTGGCGTGACTGATCGTCGATCGATTTTACAGCGATTGGAGCGCGCGATCGAATTACCGATCTGTACATCGACATAAGTTCACGGATCCGCGCGCGGATCTCGATCATCGCCCACATAAGCGAACACAAGTCATAGAACCCACCCATGTGCGCGCTGCGCGGAGGCAGCTGGACGCTAAATGCCTAATGATCCAAAACGCGAACTCGAGGTAGATATAGCTTCTTCGAACGATCGATGCGTGCTACGTACAACTTTGAATTTAAATAGACGTATAGCACACCGACAAAAGACTGCAGACCAGCAGCAGCAGCAGCAGTAGCGGTTGACGATTCAAAAAGATTTTATAATGCGATAGGGAGTACCTATACACACTTACCTATATACATGCAATATGTATACAGAGCTCGAGCTTTCGCAAGACGTCAGACAGCAGCCTAGTATCAAAGCGTTTTTGTCGCGAACACGCGCGACGACTTCGACGACGTTGTTATAGGGCTTCGTCCCATGCTCACCGACGCGCTGATACGATATATATCTATGTGTGTTATATGTGCATTATAAGATACAGCGCGGGTCGCATCGAAGACATTTTTTTTTGCACGATACTTACCTGTAATAATGTCGCGAGCCTACAAAGTGTATATATACCTAAGGTACGCGTCTTTTGTTTGCTCTGGACATCTTGTCCGACGATACTCGGACTTTTTTTTATAAAATGTAATGCTATTAAGCTCTGGTATAGCGCATATGGCTTATAATGGTAATTGATACTGGAAGCTTCTTTATTTTGCTGCTGCTGCTGCTGCTGCTGTGGTCGTTGGATAACAGTGACGACGAGTGGATATCGAATTATTCTTCTTTTTTTTTGTTTTGCTTTTTTTGAACTTCACCGCGAGATAGTTAGCTGTTTCAAAAAAGAAAGAACTGTGTTCGATCGGATAGAGAGAGAGCCTTTTTTTTGGTTTCCTTCGGCCGATACTGTAGAGAGTGTAGATCTATTTCTACTTTTGCTTGCGTCGATATGAAAGTTACCCGACGAGGATGAATTTTTTTATTTGTTGAGTTTTGCATGATTAGAGACCGTTAGAAAGTTAATTAATAATAGGGTATTAAAATATTTGTAACAAAATATACTTGATCTCGAATTAAGGTAGTTGACGATTTCACAAGTATAGATGCAGTCATCGCATTCAAATTTACGACGTTCAATCACGTTAAGTGTCCTGTAATGACCGTCCCTCGTTCAACGAGCTTGCGTATGGAATTGATCAATAAAGGATTAACTTACCCCCGTTTTGAAAGCTCCGATGGAGAAAGTCGAGTGTGAATCCACCCCGGCATGCGCTGGTTCAATGGTAGAGTACGAGAGAGAGAATATATAAATTTTAAATGAACCGCAAGTCAAATGTAAATGAGGCTTCTTGCGGAGCGTTCCGAATTTTCACCCCGAACGCATAGCGTGCTGTATGTATAACGTATTCGAGCTTTTCATGAATGAAACACACGTCGACAAAACCGTTTCGAATTATAGCTGTGTGTAACGCGCGTTAATATGTTGAGTTTTCGCAATGCCTTATACGAGCTTCGCGTGTATGCGATTCATGAGCGTTCCAAAGTTTGATGATCGATCGGTTCGTAAAATACGATTGGCGATGCTCGAGCCCCAATTTTCAGTTAAAGAATAATCTTTGTTACGATTCCATGCACGATGGCAAGAATTTTCAATTACAATGATTAATTTATCATTACTTTTTTTGTTTCAGGTAAGCGTACCCAGAGAGGTGTTATTGACAGTACAAAATTTTCATAATTCAAAGACAAAACTCAAGTAAGCCTTTATTCAATGAGAATTTACGCTGTACGAATTGTTTTTTCCATTTGTAAAAAGTAACATAAATATGATCAAAGTTTAGCGTCGAAATCATATGAATTGTATATGAGCCATATTATGAATGAGAAAGTTATTTTTATTGATCAATGATCCTGCTAAATCTTGCGCGAGTATGATAATCAGTTGTCAGGATTAGTGTGAACTGACTTATGTGAAACAATGCTGAATTTGCAATGAAAATTTTCACGCAAAACGAGAATTATAGCTTTGATCGAGGGTGTCGTGGTAGTATACATGTAATATCAGAAATGAAGTTCAAATGAAAAGTCATTAGAGCTGCAGGTGGTAGTAAAATAATAACAGTCACGTCGATAATTTACTAAATATATATCAATTTTTTATACTAGAAAAATCGTGGTTCTATCGTGTCGAAATAAACGTGTGTGGTTGGATAGATGGCGCGTGTTGCATCGAGCGTGAGATTTTGAATTCCCTTTGTAACGTGATCTATAACGAGTACGGGTAGGCGCATGATGCGCTTAAAGATACATATGCATACCTTATTTAGTGAATTCATCGCACACCGCGGGGTGGAAATGAAAACTTTGGTCCGTCCTGCCATTCAATACTCCTAATCTCTTTGTACACACAGATTACAGACCCCGCAACAACAGAACGGTATCGAGTAACAAATCCACCTTCCATCGCCAAAAAAAAAATCTACATAGTACATACACATCGAAAAGCTTCGTAGTACCGGTACCGAACATTTTTAAACCTTATATTTATATGCTTTCGTTTAACGTATTACAGCCGCTAAGTACACCGCGTATCCGCGAGGCGCCTGCGCGTATACTGCCTTTATACATGTATTCCCGAGTCACGCACACACACAAACACACTCGTCACGCGGACTCATCGTCAGGATATATAATGCAAGCTCTAACTTGCGCGCGCGCCGAAAGCTTAGAAGTGATAGTTTCGAATCGTCGTCGTCGTCGTCGTCGCGAAAAAAGCGACGGACTCGGCCGCAAGCACGAAGGCAGTGACTCGCGACCTTTCGCACCGGCGTGACGTATTACTATTGTATGTGCGTATAATAACAACCGATCGCGGGTTTTCGCTTGAGATTTTTCGTTCGTTACTGTTTTGTTTCGTTTTGCAACAAAAAGCTTCTTTTATTATAGATTTGTGTAGTCCGAAAATTGTGCACGTAGGGTAGTAACTCGCGCGGACCGTAACAAGGTAAGATTTTCGGGGAGCTTACGAGCGTAGACTGATTAGCATTAGATAGTTTGATTCGAACGAGTTAAATTGAAAAAAGCTTCGCTCGCAACGAAATCGAGCTCTTATACCCGCACGCAGCTGTAGATAGAATCCACCTGTTTACCCAATATTGTACGTTGCACGATCGCGCGCTCGCAAGCTCGCAAGCTCTCTCCGCATTCATCCTTATCAGTCCACGAGAAAGTGAGCTTTTATAGTTGAATGCATACATGAAATTACCCTTTCCCATAAACGATACATCGCCTCTTTTTTATCCCCACACACATACACATGTATACCTATATCGCCCCATCGGAAAGCGGTCTTTCGCGTGTCGTATACTTCAGCGACAGACCGCTTTGCGCGAAAAATCGATCGAACGCGCGCGATACTCGTATTTCTTCTTCTTCTTTTTTTTTTTTCATCTCTCTCGCTCATTGCGCAACGCTGTATACGCGTGCGGCACGCCGTCGCCGCGTTCATTCAAGCTTGCGCGCCTCTCTCGCTCTGCATATTTTGCTTTCATTTTTTATGAAATTCCTAGACCCGTGCGCGCTGGTCGTACGGGTGTGTACTTTATGAAAAATTCAGGAGTCTGCCGCTTGGAATTAATTTTCATGTTCCGTCGCTCTGCTGCTGCTTCGAGCTTTTTACTTATTTATTTATTTATTTACTTATTTTTGCGCTTTTATCTCTGTCGCTTGATCGCTTTACATATCGATTCCGTAACTTCGGGAGCTTTGACACTGTCGGTCATACGGTGGAAAAAAGCTCACTTTTAAAAGCACGAAAATTCATACGCTACAAGTATATATAGTCTCTTTGTTAATTTTTAATGTAACTTTACACTAAAAGGCTTTAGTTTCTGTACGCAAAAAACTCGAGACAAGCACACGTGCGTGCATGAAAAATTCTAATTCACGTCCCGGCATCGTGAGCGCGCTCGTATAATATAAAAGATCCGATCAGGAACGGTTATCGATTAAATATACACTCACACTCACGCGTACGTGCAGCATAAGCTCGTGCTCGTACATTATGCTATATATATGTGTGTGTGTGAGGGATGCATAGCGATTCTAAATGGCTTCGTCGCGAGTGTATATTCCAACCTCGAGGGGCGCCTTTCAATTAGCATCGCAAAAGCCCAACGATGATGTTTGTATATATTACATACATATACGAAAATTCTTATCGCAATTACGTATTTCTCTCTATTTGAAGCCAATTGTGTGTAAAAGTCAAGGTATCAATTTCAAAAATCTTCTCACTATTACCCGTGCAGTTTAAATTAGAACAGCGCACTTCTCCTATGAACAAATTGCTTTTTGAAACGGGAGGAGGAGTACACCTCGATGAAATTGCTTTCGAGTAGGCATATACTCACTCACCATTGACATGGAAAATTTTATAGAGAGAGCAGCCGCGGGGGCGTTATTGAGCTTCATTTTATAATGATGTTGTTGTTGTTGAAAACTTCCTCGTTGTGCAATTTAGGCTCTCTTATCTGGCGAGCCCAATCGGTGACAACGGCTCGAGGAAGCAACGAAATAAAAAAAAACATCGCTTCGTTGGAATTGCCAAGTTCTCTTTTTCGCACGATTGCTAATCGATTTGTTTCTTCTTACTCGATGTAACGCGTTGCAGTGTGAAGAGCATGATTGTATTTTTTCTTTTTTTTGGTACAAGTCGTATACACGAGTACATCCAAAAAAAGTTTATCATTGCAACCACGATGTATTTCAAGGACTCGGCAATTAGTCCTCTCGAATTTACCTATATATAATCGGAATCGGCGAAAGCGTATACACCTTTTATAGAGCTTTGCACGAAACACGCACGTGTCCATAAACTTACTTTACTTATTCGCACGGCGAATCGATTGATTCGCACACACAGGGTATGAGGGTGAATTACTCAAACAAAAAGTAGAAGCAAAATTATCAGGCCAAGTTCGGATTATTTATGAGAGTTACACCGCGCGACTCAGAATAGAAAAAGTAGTTTTTTTTTGTATGATTCGCGAATGTATAAATCAGCAAAATGGATCACTGTAAACATGTCATGCCGCGCTCGGCTCCGAAATTGCTTACCTAAAATATTGTCGTACCAGCCCGCCCTCCGAGCAGGACAAATAGCCACGATAATAAACCTAAGTGCCTTTTCTTTGTTTTTTTTTTTTTTACTCATTTTGTATTTTTAATCGATGAAGTACGAAGTCGAACAAATGCACAATTTTACGAACGAACGCGAGACACAAGTTCCTGTAAATAAAGATTCGCAAACTTTAATAATATTCTCGAAACAATAATGAAGTTTTTAAAAGGGCTCTGTAGAGGTACGATAAGCATGCGGTGCATAAAAGACGCCCGTCAGTCGCGCGCGCGCGAGCGGAAACAAAAAAAAGCTCGCGTCGTGCAGGCTCTAAACGTTTGCATAAAAAAAAAAGGGTAAAAGGAAAGAAAGAAGGTCAACGGTCGATGAGCATTACACGCACACCCCCCCCGGCTATATGGTTGATGCTCGGTGAAATTTAATGGTCGAAAAAAAGTGTTTTATTTGTCGCACGTGTCACAAAATTTTATCAAAATTTTCGAGACGTTTTGGAAGATTTTCAGTAATCAAATTTTCTAGTAATTTTCTTCCAGAAGCCACTCGAGACTGAGTTATAAATTGTTATAATATTACTTCTAAAATAGGTAATAAGATAGTGCCGAAAATTCTAATGAAATTTTATGACCTGTACGGCAGCAAAAATAAGATTTTCATGGAAGCAAAAAAATATTTTTTTCGTCTATAGATTTCTCAGAGAATCGGCCATATATCGTATGCATTTTGCCAAGTCGTCTACATATTTGATCCTACATACCTATATAGCGACTGGCAGAGAGAGAGAGAGAGAGAGAGAGAGAGAGAGGATATTTTCGTGGCTCGTATAGATACGATGCATACATATCACGAGTTCTCCCCAGCGAAATTCTTACAAATGCAATCACGAAATATATACTTGTAGGGCATATTTTGACCCGCTTTTCGATCACAGTACTCGCATATAGATGCACATACCGCGCATTATAGTCGTACATTTCGAATTGCTTTTGTTTTCTACTGTAGCTGCGCGAATATAAAAATTTACAATTATATACCCGCAGTGTCTGTCTGTGCTGGGGTGTGTGTATGTATATTTATACGATAAACCGCGTGTCGTCGCGTGGCCATTAAAAACTCTTTAGAAAACTTTTGCAGCCGCGAATGGTTAGAGAAAGGGGGGAAAAAAAAAGAAAGCAACCATCAAATCTGTCAGAAACTTTGACATTAATTCGCGACCAAATAAAGTAATTAAATTAGTTCGAATGAAATGGCGAGAGAAAAAAGAAAAAAAAATGTATTCACGATATAATCGATCAGTTTGTAACCGTTTATTCTTGACCTATTATACCCTTATTATCTCACACTTTGAATAAATCGATAAAACGTTTATTAAGTTGTTACGCGCGAGAAAACAGCTGTCACGAACGGGGTTCTTTCGAACTTGCTTCTATGCTCTCTATCCGTCACAGATATGTGAAAAAATCTTATGAATGCACTATAGGATTGTAAAATACAGGTACTTTCATGAAATAACGCGAGTGAATAAATGACGATGATGTACGACTATTCTGCACGTTGGCATTAATTTCAATTTATTTTGAAAATAGTTAAGTTATTTACACCTGGCACAATACATAGATCATTGAATGAAATATTTACAGCGAAATGAGGTACTCGTGTAGAGTCACACTTGTAATTCAAAAGAAAGTGACATGCAACAGGTCATGATTATAAATAGAACACCATTGGACACTATTTTTAAATCGATTGCAATTGCACGGTACAAACGATTTTTTTGAAATATGTCTTTGTTTTTTAACGAACGAGTTTTATTGGATATTACGTACACGGCAGTTTTTGAGAAATAATCTAACAATGGAACCGCAACAAACACCTCAAGCTCCGAGCGAGCAACAGATCGGAATGAAATTGATGACGGTAAGGAATTAAGGAGAAAAGCAAGCAGAAAATTAAGACGCGCACCAAAGTAATTACAGATCGAAAGCAAATTTTCACGCATCTTTTGACACGAATGACGAACAATGCACTACTCCCACATTGTTTTGTGAAAAATGCGTTCAGACGATTGATTGATTGATTCGTACATGTCGTGTAAAATTTTTGGTTGATTTCGTGTGTAAGCTTGTTTCGACTCATCATCATCAAGTAGTAATGTATAATACGATCACATCCATCACTCGCTCTCACTCGAGCGTCAAAGTGAAAGCGTAATAGCACATTGAAACACATGCATGTGTGTGCATAATAGGTAACCAAGCAGGGGCCCGCGGCACCGATCCTCGGCGCGCCGCAATTGCCACAAGGCCCGAGATTTCCAAATCCTCCAAGTAACGGACCACCGGGTCAACCACCCGGGACAGGACCGCCGAGATTCCCTCCGGATAATCGAGCTCAATTGTTGAATCCGAGCCAGCAGCCGCCGGTACCGAGGCCGCCGTTCAACGGGCCGGTACCTCAGCGCGCGCCACCGCCCAGAAACGTCTTCTTCGGCCGTCCACCGGGTCCACCGGGTCCACCAGGTGCTGCCGCTCCTCCTCGATTTCCACCTCAGCCAGGACCGCCACCTCCGCCGGGAGGAGGATTTCCAGCGGGTCCGAGACCACCCGTACCCTACGGTCAGCCGGGATTTCCACCTCGGCCACCGTACCCAGCCGGTAGCGAGGCACCGCGGCCAAGACCACCGCTGCAGCGCACCGAGTCTCTGGGTGCGGATAACAGACCTCGAGGAGCGCCCGGTCCGCAGCAGCCAGCTCAAACGCTCGAGGGTCGCAGGGCCCGTTTCGGTCCGAGCTTGAGCGTGGAGAGCGTCGCCGAGGTGGAGGTCCACCAGGCGCAAAGCCGGCCGATGAGCGCCGTGAGCGAGGACGGTACTAGCGGCGGCGGCCCGGAGGCTGCGAAGGTCCTCGCCGCGCGCCCACCGACCGGTAAAAATGTCGAGAGACAGCAGAGCAGCGAGGAAAAACAGTGCCCCGTGCCCGCTAAAAATAACGTCAACGGCGATCACGCAGCCGCGAACAAAGCCGAACCGGCCAAGGCCCCGGCCACGCCGGCGAACAACAACAACGAACACGGCATCAAGGGTTTCGACGACGGGGTGAGAAAGTCACTGACTACGCCGCCACCTCCGCTACCCTCCGTAGCTGCTGCTGCTACCAAGGAAGAACCGAAGGAGAAGAAAGACGACGACGGCGACGACGTTGCCCAGAAAAAAAAGAAGATGACCGTCGAGCTGGACGCGACGAGGGACACCGCCGACGACGAGAGGCTGTCCAAGGAGCGAGGCATCGCCTCGGCCAAGGCCGTCAAGCAGACGGGCGAGAGTAAACCCGTGAAAAAATCGCCGTCCCTGCAGAAAATACAGAGATCAGGTTACTTGAATTATCGAGATGTACAGTTAGATTTATAGGCGTATATAATAGGGCACTTGAGTTTTGGCTTTGAAAATTTAAGGTTTTTTTTATATATATATTTCAATCCTCGAATTTTTGTTTTTGTTCTTTTTAGACGTCGAAAACGACAGCGGGGTTGACGAATCGACGCAACGCCGAGAGGTAACTTATTTCGCAATTTGTACGATAAATAATAAGTATTATACGGACGAGTATGTAACTGAGAAATTTCCTCGCAGATCCCAAGAGCGAACGGATTGGCGAAAAAGACGCGAGACCTCGAGAAACGATCCATGTCCTGCTCGCCCGTGAAGACTCCCAACAAAAGCCTGAGATCGCCGTTGAAAACGCCCGACGGGCTGCCCACCTCGGCTCTCGATGGCAAAAAGAGTAAGCTCCCGTACAACACCCTGAATTCTGCGAGTCAACGATCGTTGTTTAATTGAAAATTTTCTGTTCGCCGTTCGTCGCGCAGAAGTGCCGATGAACAAGATCCAGGTGGGCGCGGCGCCGTCGCCCAATCTCAAGGCCGTGCGCTCCAAGATCGGCTCGCTTCAGAACGCCACCCACAAGCCCGGCGGCGGCAACATCAAGATCGAGAACAAGAAGCTGGACTTCAGCGGCGCCCAGGCCCGGATCGCGGCCAAGAACGACAGCTACGCGCCCCACGGCGGCGACAAGAAGATCCAGCAGGTCAAGCTCCAGTGGAACGCCAAGTCGAAGATCGGCTCGCTCGGCAACACGAGCTACAAGCCCGGCGGTGGCGACAAAAAGATCGAGTCGATCAAGCTGGATTTCAAGGACAAGGCCAAGCCGAAAGTCGGATCCAAGGAGAATACGAAACACGTGCCCGGGGGTGGGACCGTCAAGGTATAGACATTCGAATTCATTTTTTTATTGAAAGATACGAACGACTGTTTAAGAATAATTGTTAGATTTCCAGCTGGGAAATCTAAATCTATTTGAATTGAGAATCTAGCTTAATGTTCAATTGTCTAGCTGGATTTTTTACTCGAAAGTCTAGTTCGATTTGAAAATGAATATGAGGAAAGATTCAAAGACAATACTTATAATCCGTACAAATAAATCAGTACTCTTGGAATTTTATTAAAAATAAATTTTCTATGTTTGAAATGTTTGATTTTCATCGAGCTAGATTTTGATGATTTAAAAACTATCTAGATTTCGACTCAAATGGAGCTGGATTTCGAGTCAAATCGAACTAAATCTACACACTTGGAAATCCAGTAATTATTTTTAAACGGAGACTGCATTATAATCTTTATACAATTAATTTTGACTGATATTTTTAGCCATAATTTTTTTAACTAGACTAGATGATAAATATAAACATGCATGACTGCAACTACTCATAAATGACTATGATAATTGTATACTGATATATTCCAAAAATATTTTTCTAACGCATGCCTAAACTCTGACATAAACTAAACAAGAAAAATACACACACGGCACTCTTACGTAATACAAATGAGATCTCTGGACGAAATGCAGCAAATATCTAAAGCTTATTACAGTTGCGTAACTTAACATAAATAAGCTTAAAAGCTTTCATCATTGATTATTTCGAGCAACAACAACAATACATTCGCCTTTTAATTTTTTTTTTTTTTAATACTGCGTATATAACAAAAGTCAAAATAATACTGGACAATTACGAACAGCATAATAATCCATATAACAATAGAGCAATGACTTATTGGGTTTGTTATTAAAAAACTAAAAAAAAAAAAAAATAAAGACACCGTCGACGTCGAAAAAATCTCCAGCTGAAAAGGCCAGCCCAGCCGATAACGTAAGTAACACAATGATAATCAGGCGATTGTAAATCGATCGTGTGTGCAGCACCTCTCTATATATGCTACTATATACTAACTCATTGTTAAGTACATCTGTGTAAAGCTTTTTACATATTTCATCGCAAAAAAAAAGAATTACACGCGCTTTTGTGGGCACTATTCTTGGTACTATTCACACGAGTGAGCTTTTGTTATGCAATTTGAGTGCACTTGACAGTAATGAAAAAGAAAAAAATAATAATAATGATAAGCATAAGTGTTATGTGGTCCATTTTCGAGGAAACTTAGTAGGAGATCACGGCAATGTTGGTATTATTACGTAAAAACGTCATCGTCTTTCTCTCTGTCCGCCCTTCTCTCTCTCTCTCTTTCTCTCTTAGATTTTCATCAATTTGTGTCTGTCTTCCAAAGCCACGATTCGAGTGTGATTTCGAATCAAAAAAAAACAACACCCTCGACTCAAAATCCGATGTACTGATTAACCCGAATTTTCGCAGATCGAGACGCATAAAGTGGAGGTGAAGGCCGAGAGCAAGATCGGCTCGTTGGACAACGTCAAGCACAAGCCGGGCGGCGGCGACAAGAAGATCTTCGACGACAAGACGTACCTGCGACAGACGTCGTCGAGCCACGGGGGCAGCGTCAGTGGAAGTGTCGGTGGCAGCGGAACGCAGGTATGATTTTAAATAATCCATTTCTTTTCCTAAGTAAAAAAAATCACGCGCGCTTATTCGAGTCACGAGCAAAAGTATTATTATACACAAAGTAGTTTAGCTTCATAGACAAGTAGATATTTTCACTCTACGATATATCATTGCTTTTGCCCAAAAGTAACTCGAAAAAGACGCATCGATTTATGTTGAATCTAACGACCGAATTCCCAAAAAAAAAATCAAATTTGGTTATCGCACAGAGCCCGGTACCGTCGAGCCGATCGGTCGACAAAAATGGACTGCCCATCTCGGACGAGAATCTCAACCAAGAGCGTTAAATTGTGCGCGTGGTGTGTGTGATAAATCATCATCGACGTTTCCAACGCAGAGATCCATTATCATCATCGTCGTTATTTTCCCTCGACCTTTTACCCTTGCAGCTGATTCGTAAATGATAAAGTAGGATATAGATAAAATTATCCTCGAATAACCATGTAACGCGTACGATTTATCAACGGTATTTTTTCGAGGTAAATGATTTCCCTCAAGTCACTGTATGATGTAGTTTGTCACTGCAATGAAAAAAAGATCCTCGCGTTAGGATGATTCTCTTTTTGACGTGTTATTCACTTCCCGACTCGACGTTTCATGTAACGAAAAAGAAATAAAAAAATAAAAACGTTAACGTAAATAATACTCACGATTATCGATTCGACGGAGACTATGGTCGAATCAAGAAACATTTCTTACTATTACATAATTATTATTATTATTATTATTACTTATCGAAACCTACATAGTGGGTAGACTACTCTGAGAGACACGCGACGCCACACTAATTAATATACGATGTAAATATAGACAAAAAGAGCTTAAATTTAAGCTTGATGGAAGATGCTCTAATATTATTCATTATAATATTGTCATAGATAACAGTAAAAATTTTATCCTGTAAAACGTATGATATAAAGAAAATGTTCACAATTTAAAAAAAAAAAAAACAACAACTCAAACAATGCTAGATATAATCACATATAATAATAAAAAGTGTCTTGATTTTGAATGTCTTGAGTAAATATTTTGTATTGATTAAGTATAAATTAAAAAATCAACGTAACATTAAAAAAACCATTATCAAAAATAAAAACTGCTTACTCACTGTTACTTTGTGATTATTGTTTTTCTTGCTTCTTCTTACAATAGTATTGAAACTCCATTTTTTAATTACAGAATTTTTTACTGTATAGAGAGCAAATGAGAAGGAAAAACTTGAGTGTGCCTACAATAAAGTCTTAGCTCTAAATTTTTTCGTTTTGCATCCCCGCGTGTGATGTGTTTTACCACGATAACAAGATCAAAATGCATGACTGTGAAAAAAGTCGATCGTTTTCCTAATGAATTAGATAAACAAACTTGATAACGCTTTAATGAAAAAAAAGTTGTGTATTTAATTTGAAATAGTTAGCTTATTACCGCTTTTGTACATATGGATCTATTAATCGCGAACCCATACAATAATTGTGAGCCGCGCAATGATGATGTAGGTGCGGTAGTTCATTAAAAACATACGTAATGCACGTATATACATTAACTATATTACGAATACAAATAGACTTTATAATCACGTTTCACGAGCGACATATGCGAAATCGAACATCGTAATTGTAATGCAAAACAACACGTATATGTATTGTTATAATATAATGTAATGAGCATGCATTCGACACACGATTCAACAAAACCAAAAACTGTACTTTATTATATTATATTATATAGATATTATTAAAATGATTATTTTGTTGTCAAGTCAATCATTTTGTGTCATATTATCGCACCTTGTTCAATTCCTGTGTCCTAGATTAATCGTATGATTATATAGTATTTACTATTTTTCAGCAGAAATAAGTGAATAAAATTGATTTTAATAACAACATTTATTTACTGTAAATCTTATGGAACATTTTTTTCTATTCGTAATTTTCCTATAAAAAAAATCGTGACAATTTGTTCTATTACCAATCTATTATCAATGGTAAAAAAGTCAACATAAAAATAGAAAATTAATCAATACATTGCAAACAACTATCGTTTACAACTGTAACAAATATTTTGTTTACTTATTCAAAAATTATTTCACATTTATAAGAAGTTATTAAATACTTCTGTTACACACATTTTAGCATATGTACAATTTCATTCATCGATTAATGTATATTACAAGCACATAATTTGGGAGTTTTATTTTTAATAAAGAATCAAAAAATATCATTTGTATACTTTGGACGATTGCCAAATTTTAGAAAAGCAAGTAAATATAATTTCCAGTCACAATTGCACATCACCCTGACTTGTAACTTGTTACATACATGGATGAATTTACAAGTAAATTTAATCGAAATATTATTTATATGTATGCTGAAAAAAAATAAACTATCAAACATTTGTATTGAGTCAAAGTTGTACTACTCAGGTTCTTACATGAAAAGAGTCCTCTTTTATCTAATTTTTCAGCATATTACATCTGACGTATAATGATTAAATTGAGATCTCGAGTCTAACTGAATATGAATCTTGTTTAGATTAAACACCAACTTCGATTTAGTCATATAAAATTATCTCTAAGCGATGGAATTCGACGCGCTGATGAGCTACGAACGCCACCACCTACACCAACTGAGGATCGACGTTTTCTCATAGATTCTTCAACGACAGCTTTATCAAAAAACTGCTAATCAAAAATCTACTGAATTATCATTCACCAAGTTTATACTAATAGCAGTTTGTACAGTCTTAGATACAGCTTATGAAATTTCTTTAATTAAATGATAATTATCTCATATATAAAACTTTTCTGACTGATTGCAAATTAGAACTAGTTTTAAATTTTTTCAAAAATTGAGTTCTATTGTAAAAAAAAAATATTTCCATGATTAACTTTTTTAGAATAAATCTAATGAATCTCTATTTACATTTTTACTATCTTACTCTAAATTATGTACAATATAATTGTACTTAATTAAATCGTCAATGAATAATATAAATTACTTTACTCTTCACTGTTATTATGATCATCAATCTGTTTGATAGGAGGACGAACGATTTTAACTCCGTCAAAATAAGGATGACTTAATGCTTGTTTAGCTGAGATTCTCGTATTTGGATCATAAGTGAGAAGTTTCTGGAATAAATATATTGTTAAAATTAATCGATTTTGAAATTTTTTTTTTTTAGTTATTTCATGATAAAACCTCAACTTACTTTAAACAAATCTCTGGCATTTTCATCAAACGTAGGAACAATTTCGTCCAAATCCTTAGGTTCCCATTTTGGAAACATAGATTTATAGTCTTCTAGTTGTGACACTCCTGGCCATACAGACTCATCAGGTGTGCCCAAAATGCGAAAGATTTTAAATAACTGATCTATTTCTGAATCACCAGGAAAGAGAGCTTTTTTATTACCCTGAAAACAATTTAAATTGAGTTAAATAATGATTGAGTATTACTTATAATAAGAACTGAGCCTAACCATTTCAGTGAATATGCAACCAAGACTCCACACATCAACAGCGGTTGAATATAATTTAGAGCCTAATAAAATTTCTGGTGCTCTGTACCATAGAGTAACTACTTCATGGGTAAATGTTCGAACAGGCAGTCCAAATGATCGAGCTAATCCAAAATCAGCGAGTTTAAGATATCCTTCATGATCTATCAGAAGATTTTGTGGTTTCAAGTCTCTGTGTAAAATACGGTTCACATGACAGAATGCGATAGCTTTCAACATCTGCCATAAGTAAGACTGTAAAATAAAAATATTTTCATTGTGATTTATTTGTAAAATTGATATAAAATACTCAAGTAATAAAAATTAAACTTTACTTTGATCAATGGAGCACTTAGTCCATTAGTGGTGGAATCGAGTAGTTTCTTCAAGTCTTGATTTAAAAACTCAAAAACTAAGTACAAATGTTGATCTCCTTGAACGACGTCTAACAATTGTATCACATTAGGATGAGCTAGCTCTTTGAGGAGGGATATTTCCCTAATAGCAGTAGATGGTACCCCTTCGCTTTCGCTAATTAATAAAATGATCATTAGTTAGTCAATCAAAGTATTCCAGTAAAAAATAGCAGTTATCTTGATAAATGCAACTACACGATGTAATTGAAAATACAATAATGCAAGTCCCAAAAAACACCCTCCAAAGAATCCACTCTCAAAAGCGTCAAAGTAGATGACAAAAGAAAAGACACTCACGTTTCCAAGCGTATTTTTTTCAGAGCAACAAACTTGCCCGTCATCACATCCTTAGCCTTGTAGACGACGCCGTAGGTGCCCTCGCCGATTTTCTCCAATTTGCAAAAGTTCTCCATATTTATAACCTCGAACTACCGTGCGTAGTACTACGGGGCCACAAGACTTGTCCTCGAAATGACCTTTGCCTAGACCGCTGCACACGATTTGACCATAAAATTTTCCGATCAAAATGAAATCTGAAACCTCTGATCGAGGATGAAGCTTCTCGAGACTGCAGCAGCAAATCGAGATGATCAACAACACGCGATTCTTCTGTACAGAGACAGTGTCAGGCCCGCTTGTCTTGGTCCAATTTTCACTCGAACCGAACGGCGATCAGTAACTACTCCCACCGCACTCAAAACGAATTGTCTAGAGCCAAGACAGAGAGAAAGAGAGAGAGAGACAAAGAGATCAAAGCCGTTGCTGCGAGTCGTTTTATTTGGCTGCGTCCGTAAACGCCGCTTCAGCTTACGACGATGGATCAAGCTGATCTGAATGAATCGCAGTTCGAACGCAACTTTCCCGCCTATATTATGCACGCTGCGGCCTCTCGAGTCAGTAGGTTAGCAACTTCAGCTGTACAGTTACTAGTCGGTGTGGATCATGGGCGCAATGTTTACAAAACGCGGCCGGCGCGCATCCAAGCGCGATCGCGATGTTTTCCAGGAAAAAAAGCCGTCTGCGCCCGGTATTGGTCGTATTTACAATCGGCAGCTACGGTGTGTTTACAAGTATGCATTAGGTATAGGTATACCGACTTTTAAATCTGTTCTATTTGGGATATCTTGGAAAATGTATCAAACACGTGATATATTTTTTAAAAACGTTCGTTTATCATGAAAATAACTTTTTTTTTATTAACGATGTATAGAGATATGTACAATTATTATCAATCAACGATCACTCAATTATTCAGATTATCATTCGTATAAGTTTCTCATTTTGGCATTTTTGCAATCGACGGTGTTTTTGAACACTTATTTTATAATAGCCACTCACAGACTAAACTGTCGTCATTTATAATAATAATAAAAAGTTCTCGAAGGCGTAGAATCGAATCGTCTACAAAAAGTACCAGCGATAAGCCCACTCGGGGGGCTTATCATCCTCCGACTATCAGACGGTCTCGACCTGGCCCTTTCTGCGCGGTCGGCTCTCGCGATGATGGCTGCTGCTGCTGCTTTGCCTCTCCATGAACGACGTCTCCTCGGATCTTCTACTGCTGCTGCGGCTCGTCGAGGCCGCCTCGACCATCTGTCCACTAGCGGTACTGCTGTTGCTGCTGCTTCCACTATTTTGACCGGTAACGATTCCAGCCGAAGTCGTAGCAGCCGCTTGCATCGTCACCGCGGCCGAGTCCTTGTCATCCTGCTGACTCGACGAGTTCGACGTCAACGAGGTCTTCCTCAATCTCATGTCCTCCAGCGGTATCTCCTCGCTTCGGGGCCTCGGCAGTTTCGGGGAATTCTCGCGGGTACGCGCGCCGCTGCCCCCTTCCTGGGACGACACGCGACCCGTCGGGCTCCGGTCGACGTGACGCAGACTCGTCGTGCCGCCGCCACCGCCGCTCGAGGAGGAGCCCAGGGATTTGTTGGCGTAGCTGTCGCGGCGCATCTGAGCCGCGAAGCCGGGTACCTTGTTCACTTGGAACAGTCGCTGCTGCAGCTGCTGCTGCTGATCCTTCATCGACGACGAACGATGATGCGGCGCTCGACCACCTGCTGCTGTTCCTTTACCAATAATATCATCGTTAGCTCGCGCCCGTCTGTCTCTCGTCGCGATATATTATTTCTCTACATTTTATTAAATGCAACTAAAAAGAAAAATCAGCTACCAAAAAGAAACGAACGCAAATAGTTTAATTTTTTTTTTTTTCGCCAAAATACTTACTGTCGCGTAGAGAGATCAGAGAATAATTGGTCGGCGTCGAGCACTGGGGCGTACTGGTAGGAATATCGAGAAGCTTGGCGATCTGAGTCATCTTTTTCTGTCTCGCCTTTATCCGGCCTTTAGTGAGCCTCTGCTTGGCCGCCATGCAGCGAATGTGATCGTCGAATATGAACTTGGCCGAGAGCAGCGGGACTTTGTTGCTCGTGCCGCTGCACGAGGGCTTGTGAATGGTCAGGTGCAGGCATCGCGAGTCGTCCTTGTCGCCCACCACCTCGATGTCCTGGAGGAAACCCACGAATTTGGCGATACCCCAGCCGAGTTTGCGCGCGTCCGGCTCCACGAGGATCAGCTGTATCGAGTCGATCACCAAAAATCGTCGGATCTTCTGGCCATCCTTCCAGACGACGGTGCAAGCGATCAGATCGCTGTTGTCTGTAAATTTTATCGTTATTGCCTCGTTAATGCGTGAAGCCGAGCTTCGGAAAACACTTAAAACCATTAATTACACATATAGTTACTTAGATCTAAAACGTTGTTGACTTGGACGCAGCTGCCGGGATTCGTGAGAGGCAATTGATTCTCGACCTCGTTGTAGAGGGTCAACGATAATTCTCGGATTAAAAAAAATACTCTGATCGCCCGACGAGCTCGTTCGACCTGAAAATAACAATTATCGTTACTGCAAAATCCACATTTAAAAGATATTCTTAATAACTTACCTCTCCACAAGCCAGTCTTTTGCTAAACTCAATGCCTGTCATAGGTGTCCCCGTAGGAGGTAAAAGAATATTACTGTCCATCATCAGCCACTCCACCTTCAGTGGCTTCTTTTGAATCTCACCGTACTCGTCCTCGAACATGTCTAAAAATATATCCTCGCTCTGCAATGAAAAAACGAGATATGGTACGATTAGAAATTGCGAACGAGCGCCGGACATCGTAAATTTTGATCTACGACGCGAGTAACATGCTTTTATGAATCTAGCAATCCCAATTTTCCATTTCTTGACCTTATAAAAATTCCGAAGTAGCGCCGTGCTCTGCTCTTTGGCGGCCTCGATCGCCGCCAGATGACAGTCTTGGAGGATACTCTCGTTGTCGCAGATAACGAGATGAAGCAGTAGCTTTATCGCAAGTTCGAGTGTAACCAGTCGAACTTTGGCACCTATCGATAGAAAATCAAAGAATAAGTTTGACTTGAATTGCTCATAAATGGGAATGTTTATTTACCTGATTGACAGCTCAGAGTTATGATGTGAATGATTTTATCGATCAATGTTTCATTGTAACGATTTTTTACCGATGACTTATTTGGTGCTAATGAAAATCCCAGAGACTCCGAATGTACTTCCTGCATGAAGAAAAAAGAATTAGAATAATGAAAAATAGTTCCCATACGCTTTGGTTTTTAAATTACCTTATTATTTGCTAGGGCATACAGAATGCACAAAGCGAATAAAGCTGCATAATCGTTTTCCTGACAGTATAAAGAATTCAAAATAGCTTCAAGGAATGGTTTATTCGATACCGATTCCTCTTCCGGCGTGATATCGATTCTATCGACGTTTAGTGGACCCTCGAGAGCCAACCTCTGCTCTTTTTCCTCGTCCGATACGCTTAAATATTTTATTTCCTTTGCGACTGTTTCGCTGGTAGCGTCGGTTTTGCTAGATTCGCTCCTTGCCGGGCTACCTTCGGCGTTCGAGGAGGCTCCCAACTCCAATTTTGCACCATCACGTTCAGTGTTATCTTTTGATTTTTCAGCCTCAGCCACGATTTCTTCGTCGACTTTTATATTATTTGATTCGTCGCTTTTTACATCTGTTGCGTCTTCGTTCTCGTTTTCTTCCTCTTGGACGTCGGCTAGTTTGGATGGATCGCCCCGAGAGTCCGATGCGCACTCGAGGGATTTTTCTAAGCTCTCCTTGGGTGGTAAAAAGGCAACGGTTTCGTTGGATACGATTTCTTCGAACTCTTCTAATACTTTGCTTGCACCACTCTTTATTATCTCAACGTTTGATTTTAGAATCACAGCTGCAAGGGTTTTTACTAATGGACCGTGGGATATGATTAGAAATACTTGGGATAGCAGGAAAAGTGCCACCACTGTACTAACGTATTTGCGATCCTCCTGAATAATTCAAAAATACATAGAAAACATGATTTTATGAATATATGATTATATGAAAATATGAATAGTAAAAAATTGTAAACTCACGTAATTATCGCACAATAAATCTTTACGTCTAGTTAATGAATAGACATACAAAGGAACAAGTAACTTATGCAATAAGTGCTCTGATAAAACTTTGTTCAAGTCTTCTATATTAAGGCATAAAATATCATTCAGATAGTGGAGATGATCCAAATGTTCAGCCACTAAGTCTGCTAATCTATTTTGACTCTGGTGACTAAATAAAAAAAATAAAAGTTAAGTTTTTTATTCTTGCACATAATCTAAAACAATTGCTTTACTTACTCAGCATCAGTTCGAACACATGTATCTAGTTCAAGAATATGATTGCCAATGAACCATACAAGATTGCTAAAATATGGAGCTGCTGTTTTGTCACGAATGAATCTGAGCATTGATGCATCTTCAACTCGATATACATTGAGGGTAAGAGTTCTGACAGCAATGCGAACCATACCCTCAGAATGATTGAAAAATTTGATAGCTTCTGTATATAATGGAAAATCATTTGTATGCTAAAAGAAAATAATTCTATTTTTATTAAATATTTACATGATGTCATATACATATGCTATCTATTCATTTTGTATCAAAAATAACAATACATTCAAGATGATATGGAGCAACCAAAAAAATTGATTAAAGTTATTTAAGGATATGAGTATGATTAATTAGTAATGTTTGATCATTTTGAAATTTAGAAAAAGAAGTTAATAAGAAAAGCAGAAATAAAAATGTGGCATGCTTTTAAGATATGAATGTTTAAATCAAATTGTTAACTTTTTGTACAATCATGTTTGATATAAAATGCAAAACTAGAAAACATATATGAATGGTATGATATGAAAATATGAACAAACACTCATTAGATATACCTTGTTTACCTCGTTATAGAAAAAGTGAATAGTGTGCGCATTTAGTTTCAAACTTAATGTCTTGAGAAAACTTATATAGTAAGCCATCACTTCTTCATCACTAAAATCAAACTTGTGCACTATTATACTGTTAACATGATTATTACTCAATAAATAATCTGAAAAAGAAAGATTGTATGTACATTGTTATAATTCAATAAAAAATTAGTTAAAAATCTTACATAATGAGGTTTCATTTCTAATATTTTCAAACAAAATATTGAGTGTTTGCAGTAACTGAACACACACGTAGCTGCCACACTTTTGTTTCATAATTCGCAGGAAAAATGACAGCATATTTTTTTCCAGAAAAAAGCTGCAAAGAAAACATAAAATGAGTTAAATCCTTTTATGGCATAAAGTATAATGATTGTAACTCACTCAAAAACACTGCTGTCATTTTGATCTCCCCAAATTAATATTTCAGCTATCGATCGCAAAGTTTCCACCAATAAGCCTCTATTGGTTTCCGATACTGTTTGGTTCTTTGATAAAACATTGTACAAGTACCTGTGACAAGTAATCATAAATTTTAATAAAATTACCAATATGTGTTAAATTATCAGCAGTGTTTGTCGAAACCATTCTTACTTAAGATGTTCAAGAGAATGTGGATTTTTCGGCCTCCAGAGACCTCCTCCGAACCAACTGCGACTTCGGAACATTGTTCAAGATATCGAGGAAGTAAAATGTTAACTTGTTTTAATGAAGCTACATAACTAAATGCGCAAAGTTACTCCCGAACGTAAATTCGATCTGATTTGTTCCAATTGACATCAGAAAATTTCCGAAACGTATGTTCAATACCTGACTATTATTTCACGCATACTCATTAACCCTGAATTTCGCTGTCATTATAATCCAATCAAGTCGGTGTGCTCGATATCATTTTTACAGATCACCGAAGAAGCTTTGACAAAATCTGCTGTTGATACCAAAATTTGAAAGAAGACTTTTGATAGAGACACAGTGGTGGTAGAAAAAAAACTGGTAATCGTCTTCGTTATTTTTTACCATTAGCTATCGACGAAAAACGAGACACAAGTAAAAATTATTACTTAATCTTAATGCGCTTTACAAAGTTCGCATAGCTCATTGCTGACTGCTCTTGTGCTATGTATTATGTATCATTCACTCACACCGAGAGCGAACCGAGTGTCAACCGAGAATTCACACTCGTATGAAATCATGACGGTGGGAGACGACGACTCTAAGCTCGCCAGTTCGCGTATACAGTATATATGTTGGCTTTTATCAATTCGAGGTTAGGTGTCACGCGCGTACTTTTGGCGTCTGCTACATACGTGCTTTAAATAAACAAGAATCGAGCGCGTGCGGCGTGCACACGATAACGGAGCGTTATTGATTTTAATTTAAAAATAATAAAGTGAAATATTAAAAATTAATTATAAACAATCGTTCGGGTGGAATTTTGATTTACGTCAACGACATTTTTTGTCATTCGTTCGTTCGATAAGAATTCAAAATGAAAGTTTTAGAACTATTCAGTGGAATTGGAGGCATGCATTATGCATTGACAGGTAAATTATTGTGTTCTTTGATTTTCTTTTTGTCATAAAAATATAATTGTAATTTTTGTGATTTTTTCAGAAAGTGGAGTAGATGGAAAAGTTATTAGATCAATAGATATTAACACTGTAGCTAATACAGTTTACAATCATAATTTTCGAAAAACGACAAATCTTAACAGAAATATTCAGTACTTAACTGTAAAACAAATCATGGATTGGGATATTGATTGTATACTCATGAGTCCACCTTGCCAACCTTTCTGCAGAGTAGGATTAAAAAAAGATTCTTCCGATAATAGATGTGCTCCATTGCTACATCTTTTGGAAATCATTCCAGAAATTGCAACTTTGAAGTATATTTTAATTGAGAATGTAAAGGGTTTCGAAAGCTCTCAAGCTCGAGAAGAAGTTATATCTTGTTTAGTTAAATCAAATTTCAATTACAAAGAGCTTATTCTTAGTCCGTGTCAGTTTGGTATACCCAATTCTAGACACAGATACTATTGTTTAGCCAAAAGAAAAGATTTGAACTTTGTATTTAAAGATTCTGAATTGTTAACACAGTTACCGGAGGAAATTATGACTATACTAGCTCAGAAGAATAAATTATCATTAAATGGTGATAAGGAGTTAAATCCTGTGGCATTTAAAGATTGTTATAAATTAAAAAATATATTAGAAACAGAAGTTGATGATACATACTTAGTGCCTAAAAGGCACGTAGTTAAAAGAGGTAAAGTTTTTGACATAAGAAATCCAGAATCAACTGGAAGCTGTTGTTTTACAAAGGCATATAGTCATTATATGGAAGGAACTGGTTCTGTTTTATCTCCATTCACAGATGAAGAAGTTAAAAACAAATTCACTGAGGCATCTAATGCAGAATCTGAAGAAAAACAAGTAGAAATATTGAAAAGTATAAGTATTAGATTTTTTACACCGAGAGAAGTTGCTAGACTCATGTGTTTTCCAGAAAATTTTACTTTTCCTGACAGAACAACACTAAAGCAAAAGTATAGGTTGTTAGGTAATTCGATAAATGTATTTGTAGTTAGTCAACTAATTTATTTGTTAAACTATGAAAATACTTTGGAAAAATAAAAATTTTAACACAAAAACCATTCTGATTAATATTATTGTATAGTTTATTTTCATTAAGACTATGAAAAAACATATCTCTGCTTAATTTAATTATTTTTACAAGTAGCTAACACATTCATAAGATAGTAGATAACTTAAAGTACATTACAATATAATACTTTATTGCAAAAATTGACTAACTTAAAGAAATAATAGAAATAATCTTATTTATCACTTAATTATAATTGAGAAGCAGAAGTAATAATTCCATCATCTCATTCAGCAATTAAAAAAAAACTTGGAATTATGCTGAGATGAGATTAACAAATTAATTTTTGAACTCTATGGAATGAATTATTAATTGGACTTGACTACTGATCGGAAACCAATTTAAATTCTAAACAAATTTTACAGTGCATTATTCTAAGTACCTAAATCGTATTCAATTTTTTTTAGAATACTCAAGACACATCACATTCAGTTCAATCGTATAAAATAGATTTCTCTCTTTCCTCGTTTCTCACACTGTGCCCCATACTAAGGCACTTGTTCCAGTTCCGCTGGCAGTGGTATTTTTCTCTCCTTGGCGAACTTCACCAGAGCTAGGTACTTCTTGTTCCAAGCCTCCACCTCCTCTCTCATCTTGTTGTTCTCCTCCTGCATGATCTCCATGTCCCTGTACTCCTGGCTTTTTTCCGACTCGAGCTCGTCCTTTTGCTCGATCCTCTTGATGCGACAGCTAGCTGCATAACCTCGATTCTTCAGGGTCCTGCGGCGTTGCTTCATGCGCACGATCTCGTCCTTGGTCAAGCCACGCAGCTTCAGCTGCCTGTTGAGATCGCGTACCGAGATGGAGACGAGCTCGTCGTCGCTTATTTCAAGGCATGGCCCCGGTGACAGCGGATCCTGCAATTCCAACTTTATCGTGTATCATATGTGTTTACAAACATTGGGGAAGAGAGAGAGAGAGAGGTTTTTTAGCAGAAGACGCGATTTGGAGGATAATTACCATTTTCATAGCTCGGTTGTTGTCCATTTTTTTCACTGTGAGTTTTCCTGCGCACCACGTAGTTTTATCCACGAGGAATTTTACGGTTGTTGCTGCTACGAAACTCCAACGCTGAATGCTTCCAACAGCGATTTGTGTCTGGCATGAAAAATTCGCTTAGTCATCTTCGAAGCCCCTCTTGGATGTTCATAAGACATATTGCCTCTGTACGTGCATGATTTTTCATTAAGGTCGCATCATGGAGTATAAAAATCGAGGCTCAATGTAATGTATTTACAAAGGAAATCTCGATGATTCCTTGCGCTGATTGATCGATTTTTCTTTTAATTACATCGTGCCTGCCTGACTCTGACTTTTTTGAAGAGTCATCGCCCCGCAACAAAGCCTGAGGTGAAAGTTGCGCCCGTAGTCGTTCAAGCTTCAAAAGCGCTTTAGCTCTATAGCTTGAACGCGAGCGAACCGTGAATAACATGTATACCATACCTACATGAGTTTAAAACTACAATGCAATCGAGCGTACGCCGATCCTGTCGCACAATGGCGTATACGCGAACACACTTTCACACAAAATGAGAGAAATGTGCATGTTATAACGACAAAAAAATTTCTACTGTACCATCTGAAAGCAAAAAGGGAGCCTTTCGAATTAATACTTTACTCATTATAATACCATACAACAATACTTTTGTTTATATTCGTCAATTCCGCACAGATACATTTTTTTAGAAATCACTAATACCACCGAATTGCCATGAAAATGCTGAAAATTCCATCATCAGGAAAAAGCGTTCTAAAGGTACTTTTATCTGTGTAACATCAGAAGAACATATAAAAAATTTAGAAGAAGCTGAAAGATTGAAAAATCTTAAAACAGAAAAGATTAAAGAAAAGGCAAGAATCAAAGAGGATCGTATTTTGAAGACTCCTTTGAAAATAAGGGCAAATGAACGTAAAGCTGATAAAATGAAGTCATCGAAGTCACCAAAAAAACCAAAAAAAGAAAAAGATGATGAAAACGCATTTATTTTTGAGAAATCGTCGAATGAAATGAAATGTCTAGATATTGACGTTTCATTTCAATCTATTGATAGTCAAGTAACAAATGTTATTCAAGAAGATGGTAGTTGTTTATCTTTTATACAGCTTTAGCAAAAACCTAGATGTAAAGATGTGTTCTTTTTAATAATTTAAGTCGTTTTAATATACCAATAAAAATGGATATTCTGCAGATATATTTTGCTTCGATGTGGTGCCCAAATATAACTTAGCTCCCCTGATACTCGTGTCCGACCCCTATGGCACAATTCCCGGCCATTGAAAAAAGACGGGCAACTGTGAAAAATTTTTTGAAATTCAATAAAAAATTGAGATTTCATTGTAATTTTTTAATTTCAATATATATTATAGAGCTTGAGATTCCCTTTGCAATGGTCGTTTCAGATTTGAAAAATTTCAAAAATTCGCTTCAGAAAGCAAGTTTGAAGTTATGGTGTCTCTCATGCCCGTCTCTCCCCTACATTTCAAATTTTTAAAACGAAAACAAACACACTCAAACCATTACTAAAAAACTAGCCCGTTGAGAAATTTTAAGATAAATTGATAGCACTTGTAACTGTTTGAGACAAAAATATTAAATTTTGGATTGTTAATTCCTGAAAATTACGAAAGTATGAATTATCCCGCATATTTTTACAAAATAATTTTTATAAAATCTTCATGATCAATTGTATTTTGTTGAAGCGTAGGGTGACTGTATCAATACCCGGACAGCTAAGAAGTGATATTCCATTGCCTGGCCATTTTCTCGTACAATAATAATAAATAATTCTACTTCTTATTTTGACAATTAAAAACTTGAATATTACCTAAAAATATGTCGAAATTCACAGAGATTTTGAAAAAAAAATGTAAACGTCTTAAATTTAAATTAAAAAATGGCCCGTAATTGGTCTTAAGAAAAATCACTTTGCGCCGATATCCGTCCACTTTTCAATACTATATGATTCCATTAATTGAATTAAAAATTACTATAAAAAATGATAATTTTACTTACTGAATAATAATTAACTCGATCATACCATTTAAATCATTTTAATATTTTGTTCAAATGTTTATATGACTTGAATAAAAGTATCCGGGTATTGGGGAGTGGCCGGGTATTAGTACAGTCACCCTATATTTTAAAATCCTTTTTCTTTCAATGGTTTCTTTTCATGCATTACATGGGCCTTTGTTAACATCCATATCACGAAAATGGTGAAATTCTAGATGCACAGTTACTCGAGGAAAAAGCAAAATTTTTTGTTAGTTAAAATGTACTATGCCGAACATACACTGTATCATTGTGTATGTTGAGATCGCCTTTCCGATTGAATAAATTTTCTAGTTCTCAAATGGCTGTGAATTCCCAATCGATGTAGATATTTAGAGAAATTGGTGCGATTTGAGATAAAACGTTTACGACCGGTAATCGAATAACGACCGAGTAAAATAAACAGATTAGGTGTGAAATTTCACGTCTATAGCGCCCAGCCGTAACAAGATATGTAGTTATACTATGTTGTCAGTGGTCTCAATTACCAATCGACATGTTGTTACGAGAAAAAAACTAACTGTTCTATCATCATCATTCACAATTCTGTAGAGAACTGTTACGTGATGATACAATTAGATGGAAAATTAGATTTTTTAAGCATAAGGGGCATAGAATGTCACATAAATATGGGAATGCAAGAGGCGGTGCCATTCGCGGCCGCCAAGAAGCCATATATACGCGGTGGATTCTCGCGTTTGTGTTACATAGATCGATCATCGTTTTAACTTTCATAAAACTCAAAAATCAAAGTTATAATACTTAATCTGTTTTGATGTAGGCTATTTGAAAAACTCCTAATGTCGATCTTGTTTCATTTCATGTATCCAAGTAGATTATAATCAGTTTTAATAGAGCTATATTGAATTGATAAGTCAATGAGTTCAAATCGAAATATTCACGCTAAAATATATATATAACGAAAGAAACGATTGAAATTTCCAAAACAAGATTCATGAATTAAATTACTTTACTGCACTCGCTATTTTCCCATTTCGATCAATGCTTATATGAGTATATGAGTCAAGTGACATTTTAACATGTGATAAATGAATCGGTCATATTAACATTGCATGTAGCATTTTTTATTTGTTAAGTACGCTAAAAAGCAAAGTACCTTTGGAGCCTAGGACATAATCGCTACCCTTACTGAAAAAAAGCTCGACCTAATAGTTATAAAAAAATTCAACACAGTCAAGCAAAAGAAAAAGTTTATAATTAAAGTAAAACAGTTCAAAAACGAAAATTTTTGAATATTTGCATATTTTTCTGGACTAGACTTAATTTACTGTGTAATGATTTGTTCCAAATATTAAGTGTTAACATTAAGTATGCAGTGTAAAAATTTAATAATTTAATCTTTAAATGTTTATAATTTCCAACGTGTAAGAGTTTATATTTTTTCAAACAATGGTGTAATTTTACGCAAAAATATTAAAAATATATTTAGTGCAATGATAAGGAATGGGACTTGATTGATAATAGAGACTTCAATATTTTTATAATTTATAAATCATTTATTTTATTAATTGTACATCTTTTTTATACTGTGTCTTTACAGAAGATCAAGTTGAACTTAAAAAAAAATTTTTAATTAAAGCTTAACGTGCGAGTGAGACTAGTTCACGTTCATCTATGTAATTTTCTTTTTACAGCTTTTCGTTTTTAATTTTTTTCTTACATTTTTAATTTAGTTTTTAATATTTTTTTATGATTTACTTTTTTTCAAAAATATACACGACAGAACAAAAGTATGGCTATCGATAATGTTTTAAACAATGAACGTAATTATGCTCTACTACGCCCTGCCAAATCTCTTTCGCAAATTTCTTCGCAATTTTCTTGCCCAATTTTCCAAACTTATTTCCACCTCAATGTTAATTTGTCTTTGTCGTTCAGCGGCATCCGGGTCGCGATTTCGTGACTGTTCTTCAATAATTGCGAATTTCTCTGCCCAGCTTATCCTTTGTATTTCCTTCTTAGGAGCTCCAAAAGGTGATTTCCCATCTTCGTAAGAAAAATGCATTTCTCGGAATCTTTCAAGTTCTCTTGTGGGAGACTCATCCGGTCTGGGCTGTGATTCCACTGACCTGAGTTGTGTCACGTCGTACTTATTGACGTTCGCGGGCGCTGCTGCGGCCATACTCGTTCTTATTTCTGTAAAATCAAAGATAAACAAAAAATTAGAATTTCAGCTCGTAATTCGAACAAATGAAATGTTCAGAATAATAAATATCAAAGTGGCGTATCTGTGTCGCGCACAGAGAGTTTGAAAACCGAGCCAAGCGCGCTACAGCCGTCGATAATTATACGTGAATCAAGGTGATTTTTAACATTTATATTTTACTGGACTCACAGTTTTGAACAATTGTAGATAATTGAAATAAATGTTAAAGCAGAAAAGAATAGGAAAAAAACAACTTACTTCTTGCGTTTTGCGACTCGAAAACTCGAAACTGCACGGTTCGTCGATGCTGGCCGATGGATGGATCGACTCGTTGAAAATTGGATTGGTTGGTCGCTGCGCGGCGTTCGCTTTGAAGCCAAGGCTCGAATCATGATCTAATGCCTGTGTACCGCTCTATTTATTCATCCAGTCCACGCCGTAGCCCCCAGTGTGACATGCACGCAACGATGCACGCATGCACTTCCGAGTTCCACCGTTCTAATAGCTGGAACGTCGAAACGTATTCTATGTTCCACCATTCTGTTTCGCTCGTTCCCCCCAATCTATCTCCCTAGTCCCACCGCTCTGTTTTCGACGCTCCACCACTCCGCTGGCCGCTTGCTGCTCGGTGATTCGACCGTGCCAGATTACGGCCTCTTTGGCACGCCACCATGGTGGGCGGAGCCAAGCGAAAGAGACTTTAGACTTTAGGTTGTCCAGTCGCGCGCCTGCGTAAACCGACGTTTTTTACACGTTAAATAATCGTTTTTAATAATATTAACGACGCTTACATGATTTTTCGATATTTTTAAATTATTACACATTTAATTAGCCGAGCGATGATCTGTTCCATTTTCTTTTAGGCGAAATCATCGAATATTCCTGGATTTTCAAACGTTGAATAATAACTATTCGACTTACCCAAATGGACAAAAAAATTACAATTAAAGCAAAGTATAAACTAATTCACAATTAAGATACCAACTTGTAATGTTATAATAATTTGCAAAGTATCGGCTGCAGCTGGGACGCTATAATGTCGAAGCGACGACTGGTGGAAATTCTGTTTTTGCCGGCATATAGAATAATAGTATCTAGTATTGTTTCTTAAATTTTGAATAATAATACATAAAGTTTAGTTATAAATAAGAAAATCAATTCAATTTATTATATGCTAT